CTGCCCCTCCCCACCCTGCCCCGCCTCTCTCTCCCCAAAGCCAGAGCCATGAGGAGTGCCTGGGATCCCGGGGAAACCCAGGTGGGTGTCCTGGTGGCCAGGCCTGGAGCTCACCAGCTTGTCTTTTCATTGTTGAGCAAAGCCCTGCCCTGTGCCAACGGAGGGACAGATGGCAGCAGGGAAGAGGGGCTATTGGTGCAGGCAGAGTCTGTTCCTCACTAGCCTGATGCCTGGCCTGTGGACTCTGAGGAGTCAAGATCCCAGGGGTACTTCTTAATGCCTGACTGCCAAAAATGAGGGGTGAATGGGTGGGATGCAGAGAGCTTAGTATGTGCTAGCTATCATCATCATCATCATCGCTTGAGTGTAGATATCTGGTTTTTAATTCTAACTCTGTGACTAAAAATCACTGTCAACCTAAACAAGCTTCAACCTGTCGGACCCTCTGCTTCCTTATCTGTCAAATGGGGATTAAAACATCTGCCTAGCCAGGCTCGGTGGCTCAGCCTGTAATCCCGCGCCTTTGGGAGGCTGAGGTGAGTGGATTGCCTGAGCCCGCGAGTTCGAGACCCGCCTGGGCAGCGAGACCTCATCTCTACAGTAAATCAAAAAAATCAGCTGGGCATGGTAGCACATGCCTGTAATTCTGGCTCCTCGGAAGGCTGAGGAGGAAGGATCGCCGGAGCCCAGCAGGTCAAGGCTGCAGTGGCCGGGAGCGGCCACTGCACTCTAGTCCGGGCGACAGAGTGAGAATTCAACTCAAAAAAAAAACAAAAAAACATCCGCCTGCCTCAAAGGGCTGCTCTGACACCCATGTGGCATGACCTACACCAGGAGGATCTGGTGTGCATAAAATACCGAATTCAGCCTCTTGTCCGCAGATGTGTAGTGAACCCCTGTGGTGGGCCAGGCCCTGCACTAGATGGCTGGAAATCGGCAGGGAACAGACACACAATCCTCACCCCACCTTGTGGAGTTTACTTGCCAGTGGGGGAAGCAGACATTAATCCAATAATCACACAAAGAAACATGTAATTGCACGTTGCGGCAAGTGCCAGGAGAGAGCAGGGGCCACCAAGGATGGGAGCTGTGTGACCGTGTTGGTCTCTGTGGTGTCAGGAGGACGCATCCTGCTTTCCTGGGGGTTGCTGCAGCTCAGGTGGGAGAGTTGGGGTGTGGCTCGCGGGCAGGGCTGGCTGGCAGCCTGGAGGAAGCTGGGCCTCCACTGGCAGCTCATTCAGACAGGAACATGGGATTGTCAGCACAGGCACCTAGGGTGTCCTGGGGGCCTGTTTGCATGGCCGTGGACCTGAGGGATGTGTTAGGGGGAGGGCTCCTGGTACTCCTGTTTCCCTCCGAGGAACCCCTCAGGCTGCTGATCCAAGACGCAAGGTGGCTCCTTTTCTTGCATCCTGGCTAGGACAGAAAAGCCACAGTCTGTTCCACTGGTAACCATTGAGCGCCTACTGTGTGCCCAGCGTGGTGCCTCTGGCTGTGCAGATTTCAAGGGAGTGTCACCACTGCACTTCTCTCTTCCGGGAGCTTGTAGTGACCGCAGGGAGCTCAGATGTGCGTGTGTATCTTAGATAGCTAAATAATTGTGCAAGACAAGACTGGGGACAAAAATAGGCATTTGAGTCAAACAAGTCCCTGTTACACATCCGGCTGGGTTCTGGGGCTCTGGAGTGGGGGAGGGGTGGAAGGCAGGCTGGTTGGAGCAGCGGGGTCTAAAGGAGGCTCAGGGAAGGCTGGAAGGTCAGGGGAGAGGTGTCCTGGGGGCGGGGGCAAGGGAAGAGCAATTGGGATGGCGAGAGATGGAGAGAAAGAGGGAGGAGAGTCGGGGTGGGGGATGGGAAAGCATGGCCGCTAAAGTCTCACAGGGTGGGAGGGATTGGGGTTCCCTGACACAACTTCCCTGAGGTTTCTGGGGGCTCACTGTCCCTGTGAAACCAGATTTGTCTGGGTTGGGCTGCTGTCACTCTGGGAGCAACTCCCAGAGCCTCAGAACCCAGCTTTGTCAGGGACAGTGAAGGGGGCGGGGCACGGTTTGCTTCCCATCAGAGGAGGTGGGTGTTTGTTGGAAGGGGTGCAGGTGGATGAGGGGGAAGCTCGGGCGGGCCCCCACCTCTCTCTGCGAGCCAGAGTCTAGCCTCATCATCTCCCTCCAGGATGGCCAGCAGCTTGCACCCTCCGCCCCAGCTGGGCACAGATAGCCTGTGATGTGACTGACAGTGGTGTTAATCGAGGGGGCCAGGCATGTCACTCTGGCTCTGTGAGCGAGCAGGCCTGTCCCTCGTTCCCAGCCCTCGTGTAACCCACGCACCCAGAGCCACTCGGGAGGTGCCAGCATGGGGAGGGAGGCCCTCCAGGGCAGCAGGGGAGGGCCTGTGCAGGAAAACAAGGCCACCGTCCCTCTCCTTCCAAGGCACCTCTGGGATCCTCACAGAGCATAGTTGTATCCAGCAGCCATGTCTTCCTAGCCAGTCGGGCACCAGGCACGGGGCTGGGTGCCATGGTGGGGGCGTATTGAGCTGTTAGACCCAGCCTCTCTCTTAGGCTGCTCCCAGGCCAGTGTGAGGGGGACACGCCGGGGTCATAAGGATAGCAAAAGCTGCCGAAGCCCTTAACCATGGCCAGGCCTTGCTCCGGGCGCTTTGCTACAGGAACTAATTTAAGCCTTCCGGGAACTAGCTCCTTGGAAGGAGGCACTAGAGCTGTGTACATTTTGCAGGTAAAGAAACTGAGGCCCAGAGAGATGAAGTAACTTGCCCAGCTTCACGCTGCCAGCCGTAGAATCGGGATTTGGAGCCAGGCTGACCGGCTCTAGGACCTACACTGTTCACCCCCATGCTCCGTTGTCAAATAGCCAAGATGTGGCGTAACAGAGCCCTGACTGGGGTACATCTGCGGGGAGGCTCTCTGAGGGGCGCCTGGCTCAGGGGTTAGGAGCAGGTCTGCTTTGGGATTGGAAGTGGGGAAGCCAGGTGGAGTTGGTTTTAGTCCTGAAAGCATTAAGGGTTTCTGGCTTTAGCCCCAAATGATTCAGAAGGGAGAAGAGATGAGAATAGCAAGAAGGAAGACTCAAAAGACCTTAACATCTGCCTGCGAATGGCGCGTGAAAGACAAAGAAATAACGATTTGGAGCTTGGGGGTAGGAGAAGGTCTGACCACCGACAGAAATGGGGGCGGGGCCAGGAGCCAGCTTCTTACACAGATTTGCGTGAGGCCGTCTTCTTTCACGGCCTGTGTGCAACCCGTTTAAAAAATTATTCTTCTTAAGTTATCAGGGTTATGTTTGTTGTTTGAAAATGAACTGCTGCCATCGCGAGGGTTGGATAAAGAAGAGGTAAACATGGTTTTGGCCACGCCGAGTATAGGTGACCGTGGGCCAGGCACAGCTAAAGCAGGGGAAGGACAGTGTTCTGGGAGTTCTCAGGTGGTAGGTGGGCGGGGGTCAGGTGCCCCAGACCCCGTGGGGACGCCAGGGGCCAGGAGCAAGAAAGGAGATGGTCAGAGGACTGGGAGGGACCGCAAGGAGGGCAGCAGGTTAGGGAGCTGAGAGCGGAGAGTCAACAGAAGTGTTGACTGCTGTTGTGAGAAAGAAGGGTAGACGGCTGAGAGCTGGGAGCTGCCATTTTTTAGGAATGATGGGTGCAGACACTGGGGAATATTATTACAATGATGGAATATTTAGGACATGGGCCCAGTTGTGTCCCCATTGGCTTACATGCATTATCTTACGTTGTGAGTTTAAATTTCACAATAACCCTAGAAGGTGGGTGTTAGTGACTTGCCCATTTTACAGATGGGGAAACGGAGGACCAAATATTATGCAACTTGCCAGAGCAGGGAAAAACTCTAGTTCCTTTCTGTAGAAGTCGTCTCTGGGCTGGCACTTTGGTCTGCAGTCCCCCTGCCTTTGCTGTGACTACAGTCCACACAGGGCCAAACCTAAGTGACCCCCTGAGCAGAGCTGGAGTCAGAGGAGGTGACATTAGGGTCAGAGACAGTCCAGTTATCCGGGGGGGGGAGGCGGACAAAGTGGGGTGACAATAAGAGGCACTTCTCCTGCCTTTCCAGAATTTGCCCTGCCCTCTTCTTGAACATTCTGTGACTTGAGGATTTGTCCCTGTTAAATTTGTCTGGGTCGGGCTGCTGTCACGCACACCTTGATGTTGAATGAGTAGATTGTAAGAGGGTGTCAAAGGTCTGGAGTCCTCACCCGGAGAGGGAAGAGGGCTCACCACGGCCCCACACTTCAGTCTGGCACCCTGGCTGCACGACTTGCATCCTGCCTCGTGATGAGCACCCAGGAGGGCCAGGCACTGTACCAGGCATCTCCCACCAATGGTCTTGATGGGGGTGTCTCCTCATTCTCAGCCTGCACATGCAGAAGCCGAGGCTCTGGCAGGAGGTGAAGTCCCTGCAGTGCAGCCCGAAGGCGTACGGTTGTGAGTTGGGGGGTTGGGCGTTCAACCCAGGATGCCAGTCTCACTGCCTGCCCCCGGTGAGGCCCTGACCTCCTCTTTCTCCCTGAAGCCTCTGGGAGCATTGGACTGACTTGTCAGTTTAGGGCAAACCCCTCGGGGCCTGTCAACCCTTGGGACTTGTAAAGCTGGGAAATGTAGCTTCCTTGCCCGGGAGAGGCTCATTAGGAGACAGGCCTTACTGCTCAGGCTCAGAGGAGACTATAGATAGAGCTGGCTGGTGTGCGGGGGAGGTAGGGGGCGGCTGGGGGACAGCCTGGCATCATTGCCTGTGCCCCTCATCCCTACTGGCCAACCAAGGCTCTGTCATTCCGGTCCGAGGTGTCCAGTGGCCTGGGACTCTTGGCATCACCACTGACCGCTGTGTGATTCAGAGAAAGCCATGTGCTCTGGGCCTCCTGTTGTGATTTTTCTGGAACCAGGATACTGTTACGTCCATAGCCCATTTCTAGGAGATCTTGGTCAGCCAACAGACACGCATGCAGCACCTCATACATGCTAGGCACTGTCCTAGAAGCTAAAGATACAGCAGGAAACAACACACATGCACATCTCTGGCCTCACAGAGCTGACGTTTTCATGGAGCCTAGGAATTGTTTGCCAGGCAGGAGCTTGGAAAAAGGGGTCGAGTGTTTTAGACAAGAACAGAGAAACACGGGTCAAATGTTGCCCACAGGAGTGATAGAGTTTATTTCAACAGCAAAAGCCGGGCTCGGTGGCTCAGCCTGTAATCCCACGCCTTGGGAGGCTGAGGTGAGTGGATTGCCTGAGCCCGCGGGTTCGAGACCCGCCTGGGCAACTTGGCAAGACCTCATCTCTACAATAAATCAAAAATCAGCTGGGAGTGGTAGCACGCACCTGTAGTTCCAGCTATTGGAAGGCTGAGGCGGAAGGATCGCCAGAGCCCAGCAGGTCGAGGCTGCGGTGGCCAGGAGCAGCCACTGCACTCCAGTCTGGGCGACAGAGTGAGACTCCAACTCAAAAAAAAAAAAAAAAATAAGAAAAGAAATCCTATTTCAACAGCAACTCTGAAGCGGGTGTGATTTTTTTCCCATCTTAGAGGGGAGCAGAGTCTCCAAGGGTTAAGCCAGTTGCCCACGTACCTAGTACCCGAGAGAGCTGTGTCTGCCACCCAGGACTCCTCACCCCAGAGCCCAAGATCTTCCCTACCCGCTCACTGCCTCCCAGATTTGCATGCTGAGCCTTTTTATGCCAAATAAGATGTTCACTTTGTGGGCTGCAGAGGCCCAGTTCATTGTCCCATACCCTGAGACAAGGCTGTTCCCTTGAGTACTGTCCCCAGAAGTCATAGTCAGCCATGTACAAGCTTTTGTTGACCGTGTACTAAGGACCTAGGAGCCACGGCCTGCAGGTCATAAGTGGCACCTGCAGTGACCTCAGGCAGCCTGGCCAGGACTGGACAACCACAGAACTGTAAATAGAGAAGTCAAAGCTATGTTTTTTGCGCACCCCCCCCCCGCCCCCCGCCCTTCCCCTGTGTCTGGGCACCATTTCTCTCACCTCCTTATCCCCCAACGCTGGAGGTTGCAGCCTCTGAGCTAATCTGACTCCCAGGCCACAGCCATTCCTGAAGCCTCCGTGGAGACCAGGCTGAGGCTGAGCAGGAGTCTCAATCTGGGCTGCAAGTTCAAATCCCCTGGGGAGCTTTTAACAATCCCCATGCCCAGACTGGACCCTGGACCGATTGACTCTGAATCTCTTGGGTGAGGTGTCAGCATCTGTATTTCTAAAGCTCCTCAGGAGATTCCAAAGTGCAACCTAGCTTGCAAACTAGTGTTCTCATCTAGAGAAGGGCAGTGGCTCTAGCTGCAGGCTAGAATCAGTCAGGGAACTTTTTAAGCCTACCCAGGCCTGAGTCCTATCCAGACCAGTTAAATTAGATCCCCTGGCTGCTATCACCAGAATGTGCCTATAATTGGGGCCCTCCTACGGTCTCTGAGCACATGGCTGTCACCAGTCTAGTCACCTAAGGGGCTGGTGTTGGCGGTCAGAGGAGAGGTACCCCTTACTGGAGTCTCTGAGGATTCTCTGCAGGGCTGAAGGGCTCTGGGGAGTGACTGGGAGACTTCAGTCTTGTGAGGCAGTGGCCAGAGCCCTGGACTGGGGGTCAGAGACTTGGTCTCATCCCGGCTCAGACCCTCAGCAGCTGTGTGATTCTGGGTAAGCCACTGGGGGCCCTCAGGGCCTAGTTTCCTCATCTAAAAGCAAAGGTCGTCACTCTAGAACACACTCTAGTCACTAGGGAAGCCTTGAAAACTGATGACTCCTGGTGTTGCCCAGAGCCACGGGCTGGGTCTAGAAGTCTGTGTTTCTGGAAAACTCTCTGGTCAGATGCCACCAAGGTCACATCCTGCCTTGTCATTTCAGGAATTGGAAGTTGCAGAGCCCAAGGCAGCCAGGCTCATGTGTCCCCTGACTTAAGTAAATTTCACGCGAAGCCCATCTGAGTGCGGCCAAATGATAATGTGGAGGGAAGGCCGCATTTTTGTAGAGACCCTCACAGCAAGTGACTGGCGGGTTTTACAGACATATCTTTGCTGCTTTTCTGCAATGCCTATATTAGTCCTACTCTTTTTTTTTTTTTTTTTTTTTTTAGTTGGCGTCTCACTCTGTCACCCAGGCTGGAATGCAGTGGCATGCTTATGGTTCACTGCAGTCTCGACCTCCTGGGCTCAGATGATCCTTCTGCCTCAACCTCCTGAGTAGCTGGGACTACAGGCGCACACCACCATGCCCTGCTAATTTTTAAAAAATTTTTGTAGAGATGAGGTCTCACTGTGTTGCCCAGGTTGGTTTGAACTTCTGAGCTCACGTGATCTTCCCAGTTCGGCCTCCCAAAGTGTTGGGAATACAGGCGTGAGCCACCATGCCCGGCTGTTATCCCAGCTTTAAAATGATGGTTTGTAGCCGGCCTCGGTGGCTCAACCTGTAATCCTGCGCCTTTGGGAGGCTGAGGTGAGTGAATTGCCCTGAGCCCGCGGGTTCGAGACTTGCCTGGGCAGCGAGACCTCATCTCTACAATAAATCAAAAAATCAGCCGGGCGTGGTAGCGCATGCCTGCAATTCCGGCTGCTCGGAAGGCTGAGGCGGAAGGATCGCCGGAGCCCAGCAGGTCGAGGCTGCGGTGGCCGAGAGCGGCCACTGCACTCCAGTCTGGGTGACAGAGTGAGACTCCAACTCAAAAAAAAAAAATGATGATTTGTGGCTCAGGGAGTTTACATGACATCGCCAGGTCCCACAGCTAGGGGTCCAACGTCCAGACCCATGGCTGTCCAACTCTCCACCCCTCTCTTTGTGGCTTACCAGCCTAACTTTCCGGTCTTCCATTTTTTTCTTTCCACAATCATTCTCCTCAAAGAGACATCATTTTTTTATTTTTCACAAGAAGTTAAAGGATTCCTTTAAATGGTGGGCCTACCACATTTTGTAAGAGTTCTGCTTTACAAAATTCCAATCTGTGTACAACCTACCAGGCATTCCTTCACTGGATGTTGATTCTCCCCAATGTGGGTGAATCCGCACCCTGCCCCCCCATCCCAAGGAGGCTCATCTGAAAGGAGACAGCGCCTCCTTCTGGGGGATCACAGAACCCCAGGGCCGACTCCTGGCAGGCCCCAGGAGATGGGCAAGTTGATGGGATCCTCAAGGAAGACAGGCCCAGGCAGCTGCCTGTTGGCACCCCGTTTAGAACTGAAGGCTGGAGAACCCAGCTCCCTGGGCCTCTCCTGCCTCCCCAGACCCTGACCCCGCTGTGGGACTCTGGCGACTCCCCTGGCCCTGGGCGTCCCCAGAGGACTGAGCAGCTGGCACCAAGGGTTAACCGCAACCCTCTACCTCCCTCCTCTGGCTCTGGTCCGCTAGCCTGTTGCCATGGGAACGAGGCTAAAAATAAAATGGGCTCTCAAAGCCCAGCCCCATGCATAGGAGTCAAAACAAACTAATTAAAGCAGCCAGGCTAAAATGTGAAGATAATTACACCCTCACTCAGGAGCCAGTCGTGGAGATGGAAACGCTCAGCAGGCTGTCCCGAGTCAGAGCCCCTGGGCCTGGCCCTGCCAGGCAGGGCTGGTTCCCACACTCAGATCCCTCAGGCCCAGGGTCTCACCAAGCAGTCTCGTTACCCCTCCAGAGAAAAACCCACACTGCTTAGGCCTGAGATCCAGGGAGCAGCACACTCCTATCTTGTGGCTCCATTCCTCGTGAATCCCCTGTATGGCTTATGTCTCATCTGAGGTGGCCAAGGAGAAATGGGGGGAACCAACGCCTGAGGCTGTTTTTTTCCACCATCTCCACCATCTCCTTGAAACTCGGGGCAATCCTTACCCAGCTCTGGGCTGCAGCTATCCCTAAGACCTTGGCTCAAGGGCTTCAAGATAGTTGCTTTGTCTCTCCGGCTACTACCTCCCCTCCCGGGGGACCCTGAGGCCAGAAGGCTGTCCTTCATCTCCTTCTGGTCCAGGAGCACAAGGAGGGCCCTGTCCTCAGGCCACAAGGCCTCAGGGTCAGGCCCGTCCCACCCAGGGCCCTCTGTCTTACAGGACCATCAAGGTGGAGGTGTATGACTGGGATCGAGACGGCAGGTAAGCGGGCAGGAGGGAAGAGGACGGAGAGGGTGAGGGGGGATGGGGCAGCCACTAGGGAAGGGTGGGACCTTGCTCTCATGGTGCAAGGGAGCTGTGCCCAGGCCCCTACCTGCTCAGCTCTAGAGGGGCCCATTCATCCGCACCCAGCTCCACTAGGGCTTCCAAGGACCTATGTGCCACGGGATGTGGTCCAAGGGGTACAAGAGGTCTCCTTTTCCCCACATAGTGGCCCAGCAGCCAGGCAGGGCCTGCAATCTCCCCACGTCTGGCAGAATTGAGGATTTTCTGAAGGGTGCATGTTCTAGGGCACCGATACCGGTGACCCCTGAGCATTCGTGGACACATTCTGTGAGGCTGTCTGTGTAAGGCCTCGGACCAAGCATTGTGCAGTGACTGAGTGGGGAGGCCAATCATCCACGTGTAGCCTCATCGTCAGAGCAGCTGTTTGCAGAGAGCCAGGGCTGAGGGAGCAGGTCGTGGGGGAGGGTGGGCTTCAAGGCATGATGCAGCTGGAAGGAAGTGCCTGAGCAGGCCTATGTCTGGCTGGTGGAGGGTGGCTCCCACTCAGAGTCCTTGGGAGGCCGGTGCTTTCTCCTGTGGACCTGACTGCTGCCGAGAAGCCCATCCGCTTCACAAGAGCAGACTTCTGGGAGCTCTGGTTCAGGACCCTCCTGCTGGTCAGTGGAGCCAAATATATCACCCAGACTGGAGGGCAGTGGCCACTCCCAGCCACCGCAGCCTCGACCTGCTGGGCTCCGGCGATCCTTCCGCCTCAGCCTTCCGAGTAGCTGGAACTACAGGCTCACGCTACCACACCCGGCTCATTTTAATTTATTGTAGAGATGAGGTCTTGCCAAGTTGCCCAGGCTGGTCTCTCAAACTCGTGGGCAATCCTCAGGCAATCCTCTCTCCTTGGCTTCCCAAAGTGCTGGAATTACAGACTGAGCCACCGAGCCCGGCCTCTGTACAATTTTTTGCTGCACTTAAACTTACTCCAGAAGGTGTGGGACATAGCTCTCATTGTCTTTAAGCAAATGTTACTGGAAAAGAGATTAATGAACACTTTTTTTTCAACTTGTCACTAACTTGAAACTCAAATGAACATTTTTAACCTCGTCAGCTGAATTTAACAATTATTTTTAGGGTTTGAGACCAGCTTGGGCAAGACTTTGTCTCTACAATAAATCAAAAAATTAGCTGGGCATGGTAGCACATGCCTGTAGTTCCAG